GAGTCATACAGCTCAGAAGTTGAAGTTTTTACTCCCAGCAAAAACGGAAAACCAGATAGTCAATCGTTGCTATTCAAATCAATTCTACAACGTTAACAAAATCATTCACTGATGCCTCCAACGAAATAAGCCTCAACATAAGAGATCAAATGACTGTTGAAGTTAAAGTCGTCAAAGTTTGTGGTGGTTCCTTAAATCATTTTCCAATCTCTGGCTCAGCTGTCAGTAACTGTAGGGTAGAACGAGAAAAATAAGGTGCCCAAATGATGGAGAAATATCAGGAGAAATGCTCTCTTCATCCATCTGGTCACTGGAATTCAAAACTTTTTTTATCATTTACTGGTAAATGGATTATTAATTTATTACTTGCTTACTGTTAAAGTATTTGGAAATGCAAATGTTGAAAAATACTAAAATATTTAAAAACAAACATTTTTTGTATGTAGGAAATGAAGCTGAGCATGTTGCTATTCTGGCTAGTGATTGGTATGGCTTATCAAACGATGCAAATGATAGGGATTATCTTTTTCTGGATATTTCCGGAATTCCTGATATTTTTACACATTTTTATTTTTTCCGGATATTTAAATAGTTTTCTGAAAATACAAGTTAAAAATATATTTTTTGTCATCAAATAATTAAAACAGTAAAGGTATTGTTCATCAATTACTTTATATTATATTTTACTTAGGTAAGGCATTATTTTTACAAATAATATCTTCTTTTTTGTCCACGTATATTTATTAATAAATTATACTAATTGCTCAGCTTTACGTGAATTAAAATATGTGAGCAAAATCGCTAAAAATTTGCGTAAAGCTGTGAGTAAAAGTAATTGCTTTTATTCACCCAGCCTAATAAAAAAATTATGTAAGTATTTAAATTATAAAATAAGTTTTGTGTTAATTAAAATTACCAAATCAATTTATTTATTGAGATATTGATAAAAAAGCATTTATTATTTTGCCATATATTTCTGCAGTATTTATGTAAAAAAAGTTTTTTTTTTTAACAAATTAAAAAAAAAAAAACTTGCTCTTAAAATCAAAACTTACCTTCGAGAAAAAAAATAGCGTCGAAAATTATTTATTAAAAGGTTTTTTACTTATGTTTTGATAAATACTTTGTTTTGGAACCATTAAATAATATGAAATCTATTTTTTAAAGATTATTTAAGATATATAAACACTCAGCACTTAGAGATCACTTTAATTATTTTAACTATTTCACCTAAAAATCTAGTTTAATTTAATTTATAAACTCTATTTAAGTAAGTATAAAAATACATTTTTATTTATATAGAAGAATACCTGCCAAAAATTTTCTTTTCAAGCACATGAGATATTCTTAAATACATAAAAAGCATTTTTATTCCCAGATTTTTCCAGATATGTCTTAAAAATTTTTTGTCTGATTTTTTCCGGATATTATAATAAAAATAATTTTCCAGATATTTTAAAAATGACAAGGATAATCTATGAAATGAAAAAATTCTAGAAATCCCTCTAATTATTAACTCTACTGGTCATGGCCAGAAAGAATGCCTTTATTAAGTGTTTTTTTATCTTCTGGAAACTGTTAGATAATTTGATTGCGGTAGTTTTTAACACCACGTCTAGTAACACTGAATGGAAAGCTGGATGTGCAGCACTCGTTGAGAAAGAGGTAGGTCATGCACTGTTGTGGACAGCTTGTTGCCATCATGTTTATGAACTGCATATTGGTCACGTCTTGGATGTAGTTAATGGAAGTCATAACAGACCTTTTCGAGCCAATTTTGAAAATGCTTTAAGACATTTGGGATTCTATTTCTCCTACATATATAACAAAATTTGAGTGGCTGGAAGAGAACTATCCTATTCATCACCAGGCAACACTTGCTCTGAACTGAGCTAGTAGGTGCCTTGAGAATATTTTTCCAAGGCCGATTATCAAGAATTGATTGAACTGACAGTTCATTTTCTTGGAAGTGACTTGCCAAAAGGTAAGATTTTTAACTTCAAAAAACTGGGTGCGCATCATTATGCAAAATTTATGCACAATGAGCTGTACATCTTTAAACTTGTCATGTTGGATCAACAGATTGCATTGCTAGACCAGGTTCAACGTCATAAATTGAAAAGAGTGGCTAAATTTATCACTCTGTTTCAGGCAAAGGCTTTTTTACAAAGTTGCATCTTAGGCGTTGCACCGAAAGTTGAATGTCAGTACATCGCCGATATGCAGTAGTACCGTGATATAGACAAAATTGTTTCTGATGCAGCCATTCAGTCTTGCAACAGACAATTTTGGTATTTAACTGTAGAGTTAGTTATCTTCACAATTTTTGATGAGGACATTTTACCTATTGAAAAATCTGCTATGGTATTGAATTTGTACGACACCCAAAGAAATGAAGAAATGAAGCCTGGAAAATTGTCTTTTCTGCAAGTTGATGGAGACAACTTCCCTTTCTTTGTCTCTTTAATTAGTCCACGTTCCTGGCTACTATTTAAATTAATCAAGATGACTGCAAACCAGGTAGATTATATCTTATCAAGGACGAAAAGAAAATTTAAGGAGTATTTGGTTGTTTGTTTTTTTAATTAACAGAAGTTAAAGTGCTTAAAACCACTTGACTTTAAATCGGGGGACCCTTAAATTAATTTTTTTTAAGTTGAATTTTTTATACATTATAAATGAGATAGTTAATAATACTGTGTAAAAAGTTGAAGTTGTTTAAGAATATATTTGTTAACATTTTAAGCAAAAATACTCACAAAAAAAAACAGTAAAGAAAGATTTTTTTCAACTTTTTCTGAGTGTGGGGACCCTTGAAATTTTATATTTTAAAAAATTACTTGGTAAATATTATTTTTTTGTTAGTCTTAACTTCAATTTAAAAGTTGGTGTGGTAATTTGAAAATTTTGCGGGAACGGAACACCCTAGTATCACAGCCTATCCCTCTATGAAATTAGAGGATGGTTCGTTAAAATATTATTCTTTTTTTTTGATTTGAAGGAACATCATTTCATCGATGAAAATAAGCAAAAGATGTAAATTTTTTAATTAAAAAATCAGTGTGGTGTAACAAACATTTTTTGTTATTATTTTTAAAACTGGCCTTAGATAATGTTTTCATTTTATGCAAAATACTGATATAATAGCGCTCAAAGTTTAAGACTTTATATCAGATAATTTAAAAAGTTTGTGAAAGCATAAATAAAGTAAATAAAAAATTATTTGCTGATCATTTAAAGAATATAATAAAATAATTTTTTTTTGGAAAATGCCTTTATAAGATAAAAAGCTTAAGGCCCTTGTGGGATTCCCGCATAGCCCCTGTTGCTATGCAGGAATGGATTGACTTATTATCTAGCTGAAGACACATGCTAATGCTTTAACGTACCCCATTGCTTTGCTTATATGAGTAAAAACTTTGTTGAGTTGTGGAAATTCTGACATTTGTTGAAAAGTGGAAATTCGGACATTTGTGGCTAATTGAAAAAACTTCCCCTGACAAATTTTTTTTTTAAAAAGTAGACATCCAAACAAGTTTTTTTTTTTTTTTTTGAAAACATCTACAACATTAGTAATACTATTATAACATCAACAGTATGAAACATTAACATTAAATAAAAAATATTTTTATGCTTTATCAAAGAAAATATCTTCTGAACAAGTGTTCTAAAATATCCCAAAAAGTTTTTATTGAGATGCAATGTATGAGCACATATATTCTTTAGTTTAATATTAAAAGATAACTTTTGAGTTAACTCCCTTATAAACATAAACAGTATTTGTCTAAAAATTTTGAAATTATTTTTGAAAATATCTTTTTTGTCAAATATAACAATTTGAAAAGGAAGATTTTTTACCTGATACTTAGAAACTTTATTTTTTGATTTTCAAACAGTTGAGTATGTTCTGTTATTGACATTTTCAGATTTGAATACATTTTGCTATACTTCTATTGGCTGAAACCATAACAAGTGTTGTACTATAATAAATATTCATAATAAAATAACTTGTAGATATTAGAAATTTTTCATTAATTGTATTTTTATTTTAATAAAAGTTAAGCATTTCTTACAAAATCAAACAGCATAAAATTCTACTTTTTATATTACTTTTTACATTACTTTTTACATATATTTTATAAACTTTAGTTGTTATTTTTATGTACAAAAAGTATTAAATTTTTTTTATTTTATTTTTATTTTAAAGTTATAAAATGGCTGATTATGATGGCAATGCTTCACAAACAGGATGGAGAAAATGGATTACATTTGCCTGGGTAACTACTCCATTAGGGCTTCTTAAAATAGCTGAGTTTGTGGTTTTATTACTGGCATTAGCTATAATGGGTAGTATTCCAGCTATGAAAGGAGGTGAAACTCCTGCTGTTAAATTTTTTATGTTTGTTGCATCAACTTCTGCAATATCGGTATTCATAACCATTCTACTATATTTGTTAAACTTGTTTAAAAGATTGCCATCAATTGTTGTGAGCAATGCTGCTTTTGTTATTTGTTGTGGTAGGTTGTGTTATTGTTATATTGCTTTTGTTATTTGTTGTGGTAGGTTGTGTTATTGTTATATTGCTTTAGAAATTGCTCGTTTTGTTGTGCAATAGATTTACTATTTCATTGATTTAGGTGTTGCTGTTCTTTCACTTTTGATTGCTTCCAGTGTTTCAATGACATATCTGAAATCAGAGGATCGTGCTTTGGCCGGAGGTTCGTTTGGCTTGATTGCTATGTTTCTTTTTTTATTTGAATTTGTTTTTTATTTCATAAATCTTCGCAAAAATGGGCCTAGAGCATCCACTTCAAATCCAATTTCGGGTGCTGAAGATTTGATTCCACCAGCATAACTTAAATGCACAATGGTACCTGCTGAATTGTTATTTATATATTTTTGTTTTACAAAGGAATTAAAATATATAACTAAATATATTGACATACCAAGGATATTTTTATATATATTTCTTTCTAAGAAGAAAAGCATTATTGTAGAAGCAAATTGTACTATTATTTTGTATTCATATTGTTTTGTTACAGTTTTTCCTTTTATTTTAAAATGTTTTGGTTTTTTTTTACTCAACAGTTATGATGTTTCATATTAAATGTTTGTATGTTACACTTGTTACTTGGCATTTTATTTGACACTTTTGTTATACATTTCATTTGTTACTACTCAGGGCCGACAACACAGGGGGGGGGGGGTACGTCCCCTCTCCCCCCCTCCCCCCCTCCCACTTTTTTTCGAAAAGACCTTTATTTTTCTAGATATAGAAAACTTTTTTAAGAAATTGACGATTGTGCTCACCCACTTCAAAACCCGTGTCGTCGGCCCTGCTCTGTGTTTTTGTCAAAACTTTGTGTCACTGAATAATACCCAGCATTTCATATATATGTATATATATATATATATATATATTTTTTTATTTTTATTTCTCTGAAAGAAAAAAAGATAAAAATTTTTATTTTTATTTTTTTAAATAAAATTCTTATAGATAAATCTCTATTGAAAAGACTTTCAAGAGATTTATAATTTAATAATTTACAAAGAAATTAAATAAACATTTTAAATATTTTAAATTACGGTTAATTACGGAAATATTTCATAAAAAATGAATCAATGGTTTTTTTTATGTCCATTGTTAATACGCAAGTTTAATTACGTATATAAAATAGAAAAAAACTAGGGTTGTTAACCGGAGGATTTCGTGCAATTCCGGAAAAACAACATTCTTTCGTAAGGAGATTGAGAACACGGAATTACATTTTTTCGTACCGAATGTTACAAAACATTTAAAATCGCCGATGTTCATTTCGCAAAAGCCACTTCCGAAATTTAGCATTTCGCAAGTTGACATACGAAACAAAACTATTTTGCAACATACGAAAGTAGCGGTTTCGGAAGTCGCACTTGCGAAACAAACATTTTCGCCAAACGACGTTTTGAAGTCTATAAAGAAAATTTGTTTGCCAGACTGATTTTAATTGTAAAAATTAACATCTTTAAATCCCAAAATGTTTATAATGAATTTTTATTTTCAGTATAATAACTATTAAATTTTTATGGTTTTATTTTTAGAAATATTGACAAAAAATAAAATTTCTTTCGAATTGAAAGTATTTCGGATCACAACATACGAAAGAATTCTTAACGGAAATAAACTTACGAAACGTGCCATAATAAATATATACAACGATGTTTTTTGAACTCATTACGTATATTAAAAATAAGAATGATGGGTAGGAATATACATGTTTTTTTTTAAAGCATATGAAATTTTTGAAACAGGTTCGAATATGCTTAAGCAAATAGTAAAAAGAGGCTTAAAAATATGCATTAGCTTAAGCATATTTCTGAGAAAATATACCTATTTCAATAATTTCTAAAAGTGTGCACGTTACTAAAGTTCTAGCAGATTTTAATGGTATGTAGAGTCCTGTTTGAATACGCTTTTCGAAGTATAGATCTTAGAAAATATTGTTTTTTAATTTTAATAAGATATAAATTTGAGTATAAGATTGTATAGTTCAATCAGTTAGATACGTGATAATTCGCCGCAGAGATCCGGGTTCGCATCCCGCAGCCATTGTAACTTTTGTTCATCAAACTCTTTTTACTTAAGATAGCATTTTTTGACCTCCATGTTCTATATTACAGATCTTTCGTCACCTTCACAATAGTGACAACCTCTCTTCTGTTAGTTATTCTTTTAAGATTGAGTTCATTGTGCTTAATTCAACAAGTCTCCCTTGCTTTACTAAGTTCTACTTAAATTATGATGAAATGTACGTAAAACAACTTTTTCAAATAATATAAATCATTTTGCTTTAAATCTTTTGCTTTTTGTACTAGACATCTGTCCTAAATACTTTGTAATAATTTCTAGCTAACTCTGAGTCTAATATAACCATTTCTGAATATAATTTCCCTGAGGCTCCTACAGCCTATTGTGTTCCATTAAAAGTAACTAGTTTTTGAGTCTAGATATTAATTATAAGCATCTAAAGGTTCACATTACTATTCATTTTCCTGATATATAGAATCCTATTTGCATACGTATCTCTTTCTGTAAATTCTGTTTTATATAGTTTCTTAATTATATATTAAATAAATATTACTATTCACTTAGTTGAATGAACGTATACCTCATTCAGTTAAGACATTTGGCCGCGTAGACCCAGGTTCACATCCCGCTGTTTCACATATATTTCTTCTCTTTTTACTCTTTCTGATATCATTTACCTTTAGAGAGATCTCTCGTTCTTTATAATAAAGCATTTAATTGTTTATCACACATCCTCTTTATACTTTTTAAAAAGAAAATCATACTGTTTATCTGTTCATTGAGAGTCCAACTTAACGGGATTTTACTGTATATATATGTATATATTTATATATATATATATATATATATATATATATATATATATATATTATATATATATATATATATATATATATATATATATACATATATATACAGTAAAATCCCGTTAATGTATATATATATATATATATATATATATATATATACATATATATATATATATATATATATATATATATATATATATATATATATATATATATATATATATATATATATATATATATATATATATATATATATATATATATATATATATATATATATATATATATTAGGTGTATTTGTATAAACATTTGAAGAATCATTTGACAACATTTTTTTATAATTTTATTATTTATTATTTAAAATGTTAACAGTTAATATCTTAAATATAACTACACATTCCGGAATGCTTTTTCCGTAAGGAACTATTTCGTAAGTATTCTTACGAAATGATTTGTTTCGCAAGTTTTCTTTCGCAATGCTTTATTACGTAATTTTATTTACTATTTATATTTTCGTATAGCGCGTTACGGAATGTGCATTTTTGCATGTGCAACTTCCGCAATAACAATTCTGTTACGGTAGATAAAGATGCGAAATTTTCGCAAGTTTTGTTTTTCGGCGAACAACCCTAAAAAAAACAATCATTTTTTATTTGGGACTTTCTTCTTTTTAAATAGACGTAGCGATTTTTTTTTCTCTATTCAAATTAGCGACATTAATTCATATTGAAAAAAAAAACAATTATAAATTTGAACATGCTAAAAACAAGTATATTTGTTTCCGTAATTTTTATTTGTTGGTACTTTTTGGTTTAATTTCATTTGTTTCATATGTTACTAATAATAACTCGAATATTTTTCTATATCAGAATTAAATTTTGCACAAAATAGTATTGAAAGTTTTTTAATTTGAATCTTGAAAACAAGTTATTTGTTCTATTTTTCGTTAATTTTTTATTAATAAAACCAATCGTTATTCAAATAGTTGCTTTCTACAAAATAAGAATTCTTACATGAAATTGATGCAGTGTTATAGAGATTTATATTGAAAAGTTTTTATAAATATACAGTTCAATTGGTCGACTTATTAGACATTCTTTAATACTGTTATCAACAGTATTAAAGAATGTCTAATAAGTCGACTAATTTCAAAATACTGCAGATGGTTCCCACAGATTTACTAGACTATCAAAAAGCAGCAACCTTTCTTTTTTTCTAAAATTCCTTATACTAATAAATAAAACCAATTGTCTACCATAAAAGTACAATTTTAAAAGTCAATTTTTTAACATTTTTCAACGAAGACTTTAAATTTGTTAGAGTTGGGTATTTATGGATTTAAGGAGATCGCTACGTCTCTTTAAAAAGAAGAAAGTCCCAAATAAAAAATGATTGTTTTTTTTAGGGTTGTTCGCCGAAAAACAAAACTTGCGAAAATTTCGCATCTTTATCTACCGTAATAGAATTGTTATTGCGGAAGTTGCACATGCAAAAATGCACATTCCGTAACAAAGACCTACTGATTTAATGCAATTGCCAAAAATTAAGGCTCAAAAAACTGAGCACTTTCCACTATTAAGGTGGTCCTATACCTAAAAAAAACAGGGTGGTCCTATACCTAAAAAAATCGATTTTTTAAAAATTGCATATTCTTGAAGCCCAAACATTCTACATTCCAAATATATATAGATCATTAAAAGGAGTGAATTTAAAAATGCTCTAAAATAGCAAGTTTCATAGTGAAGTTAAGTAATTTTCTTAGCAACGGCCTTAGCAACGGGTTGTTTATATTAGAAAATAGGTTTTTTAAAGTGTTGCGCCATTTACTATAAGTTTTTTTTCAGGATTTTCAAAAAAAAATACTTTAGAGGAAATCAATTTTATTCAGCATCAACAATCAGCATTAATTTAACTTCTCAATCGGAAATCACTAACTCAACTCAATCAAAAATTTTGACATCTTCAAAAAAGTCACATAGCAGTAAAAGTAGTAATGCAAAAATTAATGATTCAAATAAATTGCAAAATAAAAATAAAAGATTTGGCCAAAATGCTCAAGTATTTTCTCTACGAAATAGACAAATAACATGAATTGATTAAAAAAAAACATAAAATAAAAGAACGAAACAAAGAAGACTGTTTATAAGACTCTCTGTAATCGCAGATAATCTTATAATTATAATACCTTTAAGTTTGTGATAACCTATATGTTGGGTAGAAAATTTTTTTTATGAGTTTCTTATTTTTATGCTTTATTTCATTTTGTACAAATGTAATAGGCATATATATTATAAGAAATGTCGTGTTGCTTTGTTAATTATCCTGATATTTTGATCAATATCCTATAATATTGATAAAGATTGTATATATATATATATATATATATATATATATATATATATATATATATATATATATATATATATATATATATATATATATATATATATATATATATATATATATATATATATATATATATATATATATAATATATATATATATATATATATATATATATAAAATTGCCAAATATTAAGGCTCGAAAAACTGAGATTTAGCCAAAATGTAAAATTAAAAAAATAGTGAAAAAATTATGTAAATCCAATCCATTTAAAAAAA